GACTACGTAAAAGCCTTTGCCGTTGTGTCGCCGGCGGGGGCTGGGCTTCGCGCGAACCCTTTGGCCCCCTCCGCCGCCGGGCCCTCGCGGCGCCGCTGGGCTGCAAACGAGGGACGGAGGCTCGGGCCCGCCCGCCGCCCGGTCCAAGATATCCGACGAGGAACGCCGCACTGCTGTTTAGCTCCGTCTGCGTAGGAGGCCGAGATTTGGACACTACGCGGAAAGAGTTTCAAAACATCAAATTAACGTTCTTGGAATCAGTACTTTGTTCGTCATACTTCAATGTATTACGGAAGTAATACAAATTTTACCACCCTTCATATTTTTAGAAGGAAATAATAGTTACTTACGCACCTAGGCCGATGGCCCTCGTTGTTTGTTTTAATTTTTTTTTGTCACCGCTCGATCATAAGAGCCACTGGAGCCCATGGTACATAAATGATTTTACTTTTTACCTAAAATGAATTATACATATTTACTTATTTACTAATTAATAGTTGTTAACTTGACTCGCTTTGTCATTTCATGTTTCCCTCCCATAATTCCCTCTGTGAGCGGGAAGAAGCAACTTTAAACTGATTTCATATTTCCCTCGTCTTCACGATTCTCTGGATCCATGTAAGTTAAACAGTGAATACGGAGCTCTGCATTGAAGGCACTAACAAGCAAGTAAATGTCAGTAAAAAAATAATAAAAAAATTAGAAAACGTAACCTTTGTTTTTCGAAGTCACCAGAAACACATTTATTTCAAGGTATTCCATTTAATTGGAAGTTTGCACGCTTATTAATTATTTAGTTGATCAGAGGTGTTCAAAAATTACAAGTTTCCTAAAATATCGATTCTGTCAGTTAGTTGGCGAGAAGAAGACTTTTGTGTGTCCTTTGCTAGGAATGAACCGTGTGTAATTAAATAGCGGCATCGTGTCGTTATAATTGGTTTCGGATCAGTTCATCGTCAATTTCAGTTGCAAACCAAAATTCGGAGGATACGTGATGAATGGTTTTGAATCAGTAAAAACATTTGGCGCATATTTCGATTTACAAATGCCGAAAATATCTTTGTAAATAGATCTAGTGTTCAACATCAGTTATTCACTCGTTTCTGATCTGCTGTTGTTGGCATTTCAAAAAGTTGGTTTAAAGCAAGTTGATATCGTTTTTCCTTTCACTTTATTGTCGTTCCAAGAGTATCATTAAAATTTGTGGGCGGATTCGTGAATATCTGAAGATACTTAAACCTTCGAAAACGGCTCACCTTTAGATCATTTATTCTTTATTTGTGAACTTTCATAGTGTATTCTTTACTTAATCACTCAACGAAACGACCGCATTAAGTCAAGAACGATATACAACTAAACAATCCCCTACCATTCTTTAATTAATAACGACAAAGTAAGAATCAGGGCTATTTAACATTTTTCTTAAAACCTTCATTCTTTCGTCTACCGCTGTAGCCGATTTCACGCAGAATCTTCCCCTAAAGCTTCCCGCGCAATAATTCCATGATGCGCGACCAACTCCTAAATGAAATCCCCCCCGGGCGATCGGTGGGGAGCGGAGGGAGGGGGCAACGCGCGAGGCGTGGAAACAAAAGAAGGATGGCGGGCGGTGTGACGTGAATGTTGGCGGCCGCGTTGGCATGCAGAAGGCGCGCGGAGGCGGCACGTGTTGCGCGGTCCGGGCATCGATCCCCGGCGACGCAGTGCGAGGCATGATTTGCTCGGCGCCTGTGCCTTCTCTGCCGCTCACGTCGCGCCGAATGGGCTGAGCGACGCGCTGAATCCCTTTTGAATGTAGCATGCAAACGAACTGTAGTTTTGCTGGCGAGAAGTTTTCGTTTTCGGGGGAGGGGGGGGTTCATGTGCATGCGCCTTGTTTGTTCGCTTTCTGACCAAGGTATTTTTGATGGAGCCGCCTGATCAGGTCCGTAGCACCATTTTAGGGCTGCTAACAACCCTGGAAGCAGTGATGATATTGTGTCAAGTTCTTTTGTAGACACTTAGAATTCCCAATAAGAATCAATTTACTCGTTTTAGGGATTCTGTAATCATTATTTTCTGACACAATCTGAGATCGAATGTTCGCATAATTTACGAGGAAACAAAATGTGTCGCCAAATAGCTTTCATCATTCTACATTCAATAACCAGATTTTTACAGTGCGCTGTTGCGATGCTCAGAACATTTGTGTTCCCTCAGAGCGCTTCACTATTGATGCAAGGCGATAAGATCGCAAGCAATGCCAGAGGTGTGCAAATTATTAGACTGAACATTTTTTCGGTAAATTTGTACATAACGTACGTGTTTGTGTAGTCCTATTAATTCCTATAAATTTGCCGGACTCGCAGGATTTGTTTCATCCAATCATGATATCCTCGCTTCAGTGAAATCTCTCAAAGAAAACGCAATTGAAATCGTTCCTGAAAGCTATTTGTACAAGCCATACAACATGTAGTGAGTGTATCTTCTTCCATTAATCAATTTAACTTTCAATCACATGTTACATCTGATTACTATTGAACGAAGCACGCGCATATATTGCTTAATTATTTTAACACTACAAGACGATTACGTGCGAAATTGCTCACAATAAAAACCTTTTCTCTCGCAACGTATTCTAGTAGGGAATTATTTCTAGTAATAGAAATGCAAATCTGCTATGAGTATCAACACGTCGTTGCCATAGTTATAGATTGAACCAGATTCAGCGAATATTGGTCCTGTTTTCAAAATACCTTTATAATTCTTATAAGTGTCATGTTTCTTATTAACCAAAGAACTCATACTCTATAAAAGGACAGAAAAAGGACATCTGCTGAGCTTGCACCCGTCCGCCGCTTACTACAGCCGCGCCCTTTCTCTGTCTCTCTCGCTCGCTCGCTCGCGCGCGTGTGCGCACACACACACGCACGCACACACACAAACACCAATTAAAATCTTAGAAGTTGTTACAATTGATAGGCCACTTGAATTTTAATATATATTGACCACTAATAAGTACACTTGGGAATCACAATTAAGTCAAAACTCCTAGTTGAAGGTAACCATATGGTGTCTACCACAACGTAAAATGGGCACGCAGGCCCATAAATAACTAATTAAAAAACATGAATGGGTGAAAACCAGAACCGGATTAGTGACATATAAATTCTCATAAATCTTTTCATTTAAGTCAATATCATTGAAAAAATGTGATGCTTTGTTTCAGCATTAAAACCACAGCATTTCAATTGTTTATTAAAAGCACGAAAATACTTTGCCACTGACATATAGATAGATATTTATTATTTCTGTAGGTTAGTTTTCGCAACCTTATGGCAGAACACTACAAATTACGTATTACAATTAGGAATATTAATACAATGAAACTTTAAATTAATTTAAGACATTATTATTATTATTATTATTATTATTATTATTATTATTATTATTACTATTATAGCATTAACTCTACATTTTGTGTGTCTTGCACAGATATTTTAAACTAATAAAATTTAACAGTTCCACTTGTTTCTATTTCTCCATAGCCTAAAATAAACACGTTTTTCTCAAAATTTATAAAATGCCACATATACCGTTCTGGTTTTTACCCATTCATATCATCCTAATAAATGTATCTGATACACCTATATATAAGTGTATCAGTTGAATAAATGTCCGTGAATATGAAAATGACTTTTCGGCTTAATGAATTTAAGACCCCCTTCCGTACAAAAGCTTTGCAAGTACAACTGAATCATGGGGCAGATTCGTGTTTAGAGCTGAAATGACATTAATTTAAAGTTCTCCGAAGTCGGTCTCACAAAGCTACTCTTTGAACATACAGTCTGCCCTCCAAGGTGCTACTACGTTAACCAGTGCGGAAGCCGTGTTTGTGCGGCAGGCCGCGGGACAGCGCTGTTCACGGTCCGGGATTACGTCAGAGCGACCTTCGAATTTCCGAGTCCACGCGCTTTCGCGTAAAGCAAGGTGAAGGAAGATGAGCAGGTGAGAGATTCGAATCAGGGACACGAATAAGGAAAGCCGAAGAAAGAAAACACAAACGAAGGAACAGGGTTTTCGGAAGGAAGGAACTGAAATAGACCCCGAAAGTTAAGGCGGCGACGTGAAGTGATAAAGGGAGAGGAGAACTAGAGCGTTATAATGAAACAAACCAAAACGAGTGAAGAACCATGCCATGACATCGGAAGAACGAATTTGAGGGACGAGGTCATAATAGTAAAGAGAACGATAGAAGCTAATTGGCGGTCGTTGGAAAACGAGAAACTGAAAAAGAAGAAGGAAAGCAAGAGCTGCTGTGGATCTCGAATGGAAGTGTAAGGGGAATACGGCGCGAAACGGGGTCGGCCTTGATATTGACGTGTGGTCGCATGAAACATAAGGGAAACGACGAAGAGATAACCAAGAAGAGCAAGAGAAATAGGAACTGTAATTCTTGTCAAGAAAGGCCGGTGATAAACAGAAAGCGGTTGATGGCCACGACCGTAGGATCGTACATCGATTGATGTATCCAGGCGGATCAACTGCTACGGTCAGTGCACTGCATGGCGAGACGCGGGGACCCCCTCTCACCCACCGGGGCAAGCTCCGAGCCCCCGACATGTGGGTTAGTGCAGTGCGTGTATGTGGAAGGTGCGAGGCGCAAGTGTTAGGGTACCACTGCGGCATTCGCCTGATATTGATCGGAGAAACCGCTCACAGCAGCCGGCGGCTGAATTCGATCGCCCTAGGACCCCGATCGCAGTCACTGGAGTCGGCGGCAAAGCTGGGGTTAAGCGAAACTCAGCCCCTGAAATAACGTAAGAAAGATAAAGGCCGAAGTCGTAGGCTTCCGCGACCAGAGTCATGTGGGTGATCTGGGCTGTCCGAGTGACGCCGCGTCGAAGGCTGAGTTGCCGAAGTTTCGACCATCCTGTCGTGACGGCAGGATGGTCGAAACGTCGGCAACTCAGCCTTCGATGCGGCGTCACTCGGACAGCCCAGATCACCCAAAGATAAAGGCCGCAATCACGGAAAGGAGAAATCTAAAAGAACGAAATCGAGATAGAAAAGAGACGACCACGAGAGCGTGGGTTGATTAATGTTTCCAGGCACATGACGCACGTGAAAAGATCGGAGCGGAGAGAGAGAGAGAAAGAGAAAGAGAGAGACACGAAGCGCTGGCTGAAGAATGCAATAAACCGCGGCGGCCGAGGTGCCCGCCTGCCACCGCGCCGCGGCGCTCAGTATCGACTGCGAAACGAGAGAGGCGCGGCGCGGCGCTGCGGGCGGGTCGACGCACAGCTTTCCCGACAGTCCCGTGGCGTTTTCTGCCCAACGCCACGCCACCCGGCGCAGCTGGATATAATGGCAGTGGCGAGACCCAGGACGAGTGCCTGGCCCCGCTCAATGTTTTAATTCTGGATATGAGTGACCTGGCGAAAAATGTTTTCGAATTATAAATCAACATATTTTTCCTCGTTCACAAATGTTAGTGAAACTTCCTAGTTTGGTATTCAATTCATTCTATACCTTTTCAGTTTCAAATTGGGAACAAGCAAAATCACGTTAGGCCCAAACCATTCTTCCAAATTGACTTAACAGGTTGAAACACAAAAGTAAATAAAAATCATGTTACAACCATTTATACCCAAAGACTATTAATCACAAAATTAAGTAACAATAAAAACAAATTACATTTGGAATAAATACGATATTTCTGTTAACTATCTGACTGCACAGTCATATATACTCCTTTTCTCAGAAATTTCTATTTCCTTTCTTTGAACGTCCTTTCGTTCGTGAAATAAATTACATTTTGTTCAATCTACGCATATTATAGGGGTATTATCTGCCTCATAATTTAAGAGCTGTAGCACATATTCGTATAGTTTTCTTTTATTTACATCGCTCTTCATTTTCTCAGGCTTTACGATTGGCTTTTATTATAAAATTAAGCCATCTAAATGTTGGCGTAGCCATGCGGCGGAAACAACAACTTGATGCTCATCTTCAAATTTACGTTTTAGTTATTTTAATGTATTTTTTTAAAATTTTCCTCTGTGTACTGAACCATCAAATCCCTGGGTTCCTCTTTAATTTTCACTCGTCTTCGTCCACCGCGTTTCGTCTTGCATTAACAAAATCTTAAGCACAAAAACTATCACCATCACAACAATCACAATATTTTAGCTTGTATGTATGTACTTTGACATAACAGCTCTTTACGAGCTAAGACCTACCAGTATCGTTACGGCCTTGCAGCCATGGGTTAAGGGGTATGGTTAGCACATATTTTAGCTCGTAATTTATCAATAATTTTGGTTTGGTTATCATTGAATCCGCTACATTCTTACAAAATACAGATTATGGGAGGAGGAAGGAGTATTGGCAAGATGGAAGATTTAAAGGAGTTCATATTTCCTCACCCAATCTCCATTAAATTATGCAAACTCCTCATCAACACTGTGCTTGGGGCTTCGAGACACCTCCATTGAACTAGCTTGCACTTCCCTACCCCAGTAGTAGAATATATAAAATAGAATATCAACAAAATGACTTACATTTCACTTGCTTCACCCATGTAATTTCATTTTCCTTATTTATGCGTACTTTTACTGTCAAGCTGACCCATTGCTATGAATTTCCAAATTAAGGACAAGACTCTGCCTTCAGTGCTCGCAACTAATATTTCAACATCATTTAGTGTGTGCAACGTAATTACCAGAGCATTTTATGCAAAAATAGTTTTAAGAAAACTAACCTCTTAAATCCATTGGATGGTAAATACAGATATCTTCAATTCATTTCAGAAAATCACTCACTTTGCCACTTCTGTTAAATCGAATTACATGTTTCTTACTGTTTTGTCACGATTTACTAATTGAACACCAATTTCAAAATTTCCTGGCGTTTAGTATTGAAATATGGACACTCACAGGACACAGCAGACACAATCCTACACATGACCAAGGCCACCCCTCCAACTTCCCCTCTGCTGTAGGTTTATCCTTTGCCTGGACGGTGCAAGTAGTTGGTTTACTCTTCCAATCAACCTCAGGTTCTAATTTACGTTTAATTTTTCTTCTTCTTCTTCCACTCAAGGATTAGGTTTTAGTGCCTGTTCTGTCTTCACTTGTACTTAAAAACTATCTCTTCCTAGCTCTTCCGACATCTGTGTCCTTTTTGATGATACTTCATCACTAGTCGTGGAATTTTCTCCATCCATTCTTTCAACATGGTGCTTCCATAATTCTCTGAATTCTTCTATTTTTGCTTGAGGCTTTTAAGCTTGAATTTTGCTTTGATCTCTCTTTTTCATTATCCATGATTCACTTCCATCCAGGAGAATTGGAGCAGCCATTGTCTAATAGAATATCAGTTTTGTGTATTTCCTTCATTTATTTCTCCACACACTGATTGAAATGTATTTGTTTTATTTTCTATGTTTTTGTCCAAGTCATAACTGATACTACAACCAAAATAATTAAAATTAGAAATATGATCTATCACTGTGTTGTCAATTATTATTTTTGAGGGGATGGGGTATTTTACCATGAGTCCATAACATTAGTCTTTGTTTGAGATATTCAGAGATTATACTCGTTTTCACCAAGTTTATGTAGTCTATATAGAGCACTTTGTAATTCTTCTTCACTTTCTTGCAATATTGTTACATCATTGGCATAAAAATCAGATTTAGATGTTTGTTCAATGTATTTCAGGACTAACATCATATTTCCATTTGTTTATTAGATCTTCTACATAAATATTAAAATGAGTTGGAGATAAACTACATCTCTGTTTAAGTCCCTGTTTTGTTAAGATTTCTTCAGTCTTCTTTGCATCAGTATTTATAATAATTTTTGTGCCGCTATATAAACTTATAATGTTGTTTATGAGATGTTCAGGATAGCCTTTTACTCTCTTTATATTCCATAGCTCTAGCTATTCCATAGCTATAGTCTCGGTCAACACTATCAAAAGCTTTCTCGAGTCTAAAGAGTCTTTAAATATATTTTATTTATCTGAAAGGAGACAAGATATTTCATTTAGTTTGTATCTTCATGATTGGATTTGCTGTTTACAAATTTAATATTGTGTATATATTTACTTTCAGTTTATTGAGCTTTTTTTCAATTGATACAATTTTTTCAAAAAGATATTGATATTTTTAATTTAAATAGTTCCCAAATGTTCCATAAATAACAACTGCTTGTCATATGTATCATTAACATATAAATCATAATTATAAGTAGCAGTTCAAATTCACACAGAAAATTACTATAGTGGACTCCTATTTCACACTTATTTTTCTTTCAGAATGGAGGTGCCCACATCCATGACCTAACGATAGGATATGTTGTGGATGGTAAAGACTACGTATTGGACCTTCGTTTAAATAGGTAACAAAACATTGGTGTTCCTTATTCACACTATTATTTCTGCATTTAAGCAATATTGATAATAAACATGATTAAACTCTGGTATTGTATAGAAAGTAAAGAATGAAAATTTGTTTTACAGGGAATTGATTCCCGAGTCATATTTTGAACGATATCAACATAATGGAAGGCACGTTGTGAACAGGCCTACTGGAAAGGTGAAAAAATTTTCATGTTTTAATAATATTTAATAAGGTATATAATTTTAAAAAGTAACTGAGCTAGAATATTTGTTAAATTTTCTTTTTATAGGATGTGGAATTGTGCCAATATCAAGGACGTTTACGTGGAGTACCAGGATCTTGGGCTGCAATTTCTACATGCCATGGTCTTAGGTAAACTTCAATTTTACTTTTAATTATTTCATTATTCATCACTTTTCTTTATTAAAAATACACTTTGCATTTTGATTGAACCATAGACCACCGTGAAACAATTGTGCAAATGTGTTGCACTAAAGAAATGTTTTTGTGTAAAATGCTTGTCACATAATATCTTACTTCCAATTCTGCAGCATTGCAAAAATGTTAAGAAAATTGTATTTGTGCCCCAATTTAATAATTAAATGTTTCTTTTACCGTTTTTGTTAAAATTATTACATTGCACAACATATTGAATTGTTAATTTTTTAGAAATTTACTCATTAATGGATTCTGAAGTAACAACTTATTCAAAATATCTAAATTTAAATTTCTCCAGATAGATAAAGATCATGAATCATTATGATTTTGTAGTACTTAATGTTCCAATATTGCATCTGTTTTTTCTTTTTTTTTGTCTGAGTCACTGCTTTATTTCAGTGGTGTTATTTTTGATGGAGAAGAATTACACTATTTGGAAAGAGGGCCAGACTCGGCTGATCACACATTTCAAAAAGAAGAACATGAAGGAAGTAGCCTAGGTTCTCATTACCTGTACAAACACTCAGATCTCACCACAAATCACTCATGTGGTAAGTTATTCAATCACTTATCTTTCCTAGTACGTTTGCTGGCCAGTTGAACTAGTGCAGGGCTGTCCAACTGGCAGCCATTGATTGAGCCATACAAAAGGATGTTCGTAAGCTGTGGATATTTAGGCAAGAGAAGCTGTAGAAATAAGCAGGCAATATAGGCATTTATAAGGGACTATATATTTAACTTAATCTTGTTTATATCCGTGTGTGGAAAATTTCTGAAGTAAACATAATATAGTTACCTTCATGGAATGTTTGCATTTATCATTGTTCTGACAAATCCTTTCATTCATTGTTGGGCAATTCAGACAAAAAGTTTGAAGTGCAAGAGCTGCTGTTTTGCTTTTCATTAAACGCATGCTAATTCTCTAACGCTGCACATTTTTCTCTAATTTAATGTAAACATAAGTTAAAATATTGTATGGTTTGTTTTCGTCAGAATGCATAGCACAAATGTAACTAGTGGCAATATAACAACACACACTTACTCACTATGTCTAAAAATATTTTTCAAAATTTGCAATTTTCAAAATTTCAAAGAGTTCAATGAAAATTAAATCTGCGCCATTCTTTTAATTAATCTTTGTGTCAATGGGAAAATCAAGTATTTGCTAAAGAAGTAAACATTAGCAGTGGTTTTTGAGATCTTTTAAAAGTAATTTATATGAAATTTGAGTGGCAATTTCTCAAAACCCAGTCGTTAAAAAAAGGCCTTTATTTAAAGAAATGATTTTTAGGGCATATTTCATTTAAGACAAAAATCTCTATATTCAATATTGTCTGCAATGTTAACTTTTTGCAATTTTCGAAAATAGTGTTCGCGAAAAATGGAACCAGCAAGAATTTTTTTACCGTCCTATGAGTAGAAAATTTTAAGAATAAAAATTGGAGTCGTTTTTGTATTAAAAATTGTTTTAACATTCGAAGTAAAAAAATACTTGACTACCACAAGTGATTTTGCTCGTTATTCAATACGAAATATCCACACTGTGATGACAGTAAAACGGAACATAGATTTATCAATAGTTGTTCAAATTCGCTGTAATCTGCAAGGAGGGAGGCGAAAAAACGTACTATTAAAAACAATGATTAAGAATAATTGCGTGTTGATTCATAAATACGAGAATACGCCACATTTAGGCATTTAAACAAAGAAATAGATATTTATTAGTGACATTGGCTTTTGTTGGAACTATAAAATTCCTATAGGCACTATGTATTAATCCTAAAGCCTCATAATGGATAAGTAACCTATAATCCTACATTTTTCATCGAAGGAAAGAAATGGCAAATGAGCAAAAATCCGCAGGTTAGTTGTTAGTCAAAAGTGGAAGTCTTTGGCATTCATTGCGAGGGCGAGAACACTGCGCGTATCACATGCGCCCTGCCGGGGCCAACGCCCCCTGCACGTAAAACTAGGTGGTTTACATTGAAGGATGTTTTTTTAGTAAATTCAGAAGTCCACAACCAATGCCATGCCATCCGAATGCGTTTAGCTGCGATGGTTCCTCCCCTTTCCCGTTTCAGATCAGCCGGGCAACGTTGTGCCCCTTGAGGCCTTGCAAGTTGGACACCCCTGAACTGTGTGTAATCTCAAGAAAGCTAATATTCTTTCCGACAATGCTACAAAACCAATCATTTCATTTTGTTATAAAGGTTTCTCGATCCTTTATTCATTTTCTTATTTTAATGTAATTTTTGCAAACTTGATTTTTTTCAGTTATAAATTACATATTGTTAAGAAAATATGTTGTATTAATGTATTTAAAAAGTTTGTAAATAGGCCTAAAATTGTCACTTAATGGAAGAAAAAAGCACTTGCTTGTTTTGTCTTTTGCGCATTTGTGTTTCAAAATTCCAGGGAGTATTACCATGTAAACGATTAGAATTTACTAGTACATAGGTAAAATATTAAGTCCTGTTTTTGATCTGTTCAAATCACATTTTTTATCTATCAACGTGTTTTTTGTACATTATCGGTGAAATTTTAAATCCATTCAAATTAGTTTAAATTTACAAGTTCACTACTTTAATAAGCCTTACGCACTTCCTCGGTTGCACTTATTTAGTAGCATGATGCTGTTTTACAGTGATAGAACGATAAAAATTAATAACTGGTGATACTATCACTAATTAATTAAAACATTGTATGTCTTACTGAAAAGCACGGTTAGTAAAGGGAACTTACCGAAACGATTTCATCGCGTCTTCTTGGCTTAGATGCGAATATAATACACGAGCAACTCCTTTTGACTTCAAAGAAATTCTATTCATCACGCAGTTCTGATATATATTACGACTGTCCAGAGACCTAACCCATGTCACAAGTAAGCCTCCGCCAGAAATCAAGAATCGAAACTCATATTATCCTTATTTACAGGAGGAAAGGAAAACTCCTAATTGAAGGTCTTACTACAGCATAGCTGCAAATATATTGCTTTCGTGCGTTTATTTTGATATCAAAACTCCAAAATCGCTGTAAATGGAATTACCACTTTGTATTTGCAGTTATTGTTTAAAAACCTAGAAAGTAAATTTAATGTTTCAAGGGTCATCTATATTACTAATTTCCAATGCGCGCAGAAATTGAAAGAAAACTACCCAGCCTCTTGCTAAGTGAGAAATATTTGTAGTTTCTTTAGAAAATTAAAACAAATAATGAACGTTTCGATTTTGACTGGAAAACATTTGCAAGAAATGCAAACATTTATGTTTTTCCGCATAATCTCGTACTGCGACTGAATTCTCTTGCGTCACTGCTTTTGACACAGCAGACATCATGCGACAGCAAGACTCCAAGGAAGAGGTTGCTCGCTATTAAATATGTTATTCACATGTGCATTATGAAACATCAACTTTTTTGGTATTCTAGATAAATAAAGAATTGTTGTACTGTGCCACATATACTAGTGTATTATATTAGGCAACTTTGTAGGTGATTAGGGAAGAGACGTTTTCTTTCATTTTACTGCCGTAAGCTCTTCATAAAACTTTATACAATTTTGATTGTTGTGATGAAAAGTAAATTTAACACACCCGATGTCAAATTTGTATTATTATTATTATTATTATTATTATTATTATTATTATTATTATTATTATTATTTTATAAGGCATGGGAGTTCAAGTTATTTTAATGTTGTTATTGATGTATAATTTTACTTTTGAACTGAACCTTTTTAACCCAGTTCATTACAATTTAATTCCTTTAATTTTTAAATATTCATGAACATTTTTAGTAATGTTTAAAACAAAATATTTACAAGGTGAGTAAATGGTATCTCTGTTACGCCTTAATTATGACCAATCAAATCAATTCCCAGTGGCCGCCAATTTCGTATCAGAATCGTTTCCCCGTATCGTTTCAGAATCGGATATTAGGGGAATCGGGAATATCCAAATTTGTCTCGTCGAAATTCCGTCATATTTCCATGGCGGACACCATCCAGTTCCTTCTCTATTTTAGAGAAAAACATGTTAATTACCTCTTCATCAGTGGCAGCCTTTCCGTAACTCACATTTCTTTGAGAAAGAAGTTTTGTGGCGTCGGAAAAACGATTCTGCCCAGTCTCTTCCCAGAAGATTTTTTTGGAAGAGAAACATCCACATCCCTACCTGTCCTGGCGAGATAAGCTTTCACGACGCGTCTTAGATCAAATTATTGTAAACAGCGTTGGCCTTTTGGGCGCTTTCGCCGGTCTCGTGGATAAGCCTCGCACCTCTTTTGTCTTTAACCATTAAGTATTTCTATGAATGTTGTACCTAAAATAGATGAAAGAAAAGAATAGAAATCTGCGTTTATCAATCTTTCAACAAATACTAACCTCAAAGATGCATCTCGTAGTGATAAAGTGTTATTCAAAATTAATTTAACGGCCTCGTTAAGGCGTTCCTCTGAATAATTTTGATAAGAACTAACAACCACCTTCCTCGCGTATGTCCTAGGCATGGCTGTGGCCTATTTTGCATGCTACAAAAAAGAAATTGTGTTATAATGAACTGCCGAAGTAACCCCGCAAACTTCAAACTTTTCACAAACTTTTTTGTACTTTTTCACATAAGATAAACAGAAACCGTCAAAAAGTCTTAAATTTACAATGTAATGTGGCTAACATACGCATCTTCAAATATATTTATCTGTATTAATCTGTTTGTAACAGTACGCCACTCAGAACAAAGTTTGTATGATAGGCGGCGACAACGCAAAAGATGTTTACATATAGTCAAACAGCGCGGGAAATAAAGACAGGGAGGTTTCAGATATCGGTCATTAGTCTCTGTTCATGCCTGGCTACAACCACTTTCTAATTACGATCACGTAGCGCGTTTGAAAAACTCGAAAATTGGCCGAGTGTCACAATGTTAACCCGCTAGTCACAAAGTAATCCCCTGTTAACTGGCAACCGACTCGATACGCGTTCTGAAATCTCGCTTTCGGAACCAAGCCCCGAAAGGCATGTTTGTTATAGAAGTTGTGGTTGATTTTCCGAGTGTCTCGTGATATTAGCCGTGTTTGCTTATTTCTATCTTCAATATTGTAGTTGTAGAAAGACGCCAAAAAATTATGTTTCGCAATTCTCGAAAATCCAGAAAGTTCTATGAAAATGAGACCTATGCCATTTTTTAAGCTTCCTTTACTGTATCCGAAGAAAAAAAAATACCGTATTCCAAATACGTGTAGCCATTTTTGCGAAAATTTTGAAAATGTTAAGGCTTTATGTAAAGAACACCCACAATCAGAATATTTGTTTCAAATTCGCAGAGGGTCTCAAGTTCGGCCAGATCGATCAAGGGATATAAATTATGGGGAAAATCATATGAACGGTTTCGATCCTGTAAGGTTGATCACCGAAGAATGACCGGAAAGACGTTTTGCCGTAAACCAAATTTTCAGTAGCGCTCACCCACGTGGATTGTGACTGCACAAGGTGTTAGAAGAAGTAATTGACTTCACAAAGGAATAAGATTTGTCCACTTTTTCGAAATCTGGGACCCACAATACGAATTTTTCTGACAAAAATCACCTCCATACTCTGCAGCTTTACAATACTTTGTTTACTACGTAAGTATGTAGTAGGCGAGAAAATAAAATGAAGAGAACTTGGGAAGACGGAAGAATAATTTCCATAAAGTATTGCATGCTCCTGCAGTCACGAGATGCCATTGAACGGAGAGTAGACGATACGGGTATCTGTTCATTAGATTATTTATCACTATCATTGAGATATTTGAATTTTGGCATTTCATTGTGTATTTCTAGCACTGTCGCGATATGCACCTTGCATTACGTCCAAGTAAAAATGTGTTGCTAATGCGATATTCAAGACGATCTGTGCATTTTTATTAAAACAAATAAAATGAAACAATATTAATTCTGAAATTGTGATATCATTTCATGAACTATAAACTTTATTGAATAGTGATATGATTATGAGATAATCTTTTACGTTTTTTTAATTGTTGGCATAATGTACTTGTTTAATATCGACACTTACTTTCATTTTGTGTGTAAATAAGAAAAACTAACTAAAGAGTGTGTTTTTGATTCCTCCTTACATTGGCTTTCTGCCTTCCCCCAATAATATGGGGATGATGATGGTGACGATGATGATAATAATAATTTTATATATATACTAATCATATATTATCATATATATATATATATATATATATATATATATACTATATACTATATATATATTGGTTTAGTATAATGACAATTTTATGTAGTAATAAGTAGGGTTGAATGTATTGAATAGTGTATTTATCGAGATGTACTTTAGAAGTGTTTCGGTTTGTGGTTCAGGAATGTGTGTTGAAGGTGTAAAATTCTTGCAATTATTACACAAAGTAGAAAAGAGAACTTGTGTATTAAAAAGCAATTGTTAGTTTTATATATAAAGAAATTCATATTGCCTAAATAATGTAAGTGAAATTGAAATTTTCAGGGTACTCAGGCACCCCCCATCATATTCTAGAAAGTCAAGAAATTAATAGAATTCTTAGGGTATGTACCTAACTTGTCTTTTATTTTCATACTGATTTTATTTTTATGTGCGCACACACACACACACACATATTGAGTATATTAATTGTCAATCAAAATGAAGATGTTTATTATTTGCGATATTTCTCTTTCAGTACAAAAGGGAGACTGAAATTATTCGAGGACCTTACAATGCTAATAAACAAAGTCGTTATGTGGAATTGGTTCTTGTTGTTGATCATGAAGAGTACAAAAAAATGGAAGAAAACTTGCATGCTGTGTATTATCACTGTAAAGAAATAGCTAATATAATAAACTCTGTAAGTTTAATTATCAGTTCATGAAGAACAGACTTATAAAATATCAGAAATAAACGGAATCAATTGCAACTAAAAGTAGATTTTCTCCTACTTATTTTTGTGTGTTTGCTATTTTAGCTATATGTGCCCTTAAATATATTTATTGCATTGGTTGGTGTGGTGGTATGGACGGAAAATGATGAGATTACGCTGTCAAGTAACGGAGATCAGACCTTACAAAATTTTCTTCAGTATAGGAGAAACAAATTGGCTAAGGAACATCCAAATGACAATGCTCAACTTCTTACGTAAGTATGGAGTTCTTTTTTACTCAACTATTATATCTCCTCTTTGTGTACAGCATTATCCAGATGAATTAAAATTTGCCTTAAATAAGTATTATGCTTGAAAATATTTTTTGTGGATTTTAATTATTTAAAGTACTTACATTTTCATTACTTAATTTATTTCCATTTTCATGAAATTTCTCTCTTTAATTTTTTTCTTAGTAATTAAGAGAATTGAAGTATTTCCATTTTCTTTGTGATTACTGAGTTATTACAATAATTATTTTTCCTTCTTTACAGACGTGTCCAGTTTGAGGGTGGTGTTGTTGGGAAAGCCTTAAAAGGTCCAATTTGTACCTACGAATTTTCGGGTGGAGTGAGTACTGATCATAGTGAAGTAGTTGGACTTGTTGCTACCACAGTAGCTCATGAAATGGGTCATAATTTTGGTATGGAACATGACACTTCAGAATGCAAATGCCCTTCAGATCGTTGCATTATGGCATCATCATCAAAGTAAGTGAATATTTGAGAGCTTCTGAATGTATTGATACTTTTTGTGTCAAGTATAAAATTTATTCTTTAACTTTTTTATTTTTGCAGTTCAATGAGGCCTACTCAGTGGAGTTCTTGTAGTCTTGAATATCTCGCACTTGCATTTGAACATGGAATGGATTACTGTCTGCGCAATAAACCTAAAAGGTAAGTGTCAAGTTCTCAAGATTTTTCAAATCTCTCATACTATTTATTTCTTAACAGTAATATTTCATAACGGTTTATTTCTGGAAAATAAATTTTGAAAATGAGCAACAAGTTTGAAAAAACAAGAAAGATTTCTCTTTTTTTGTGTTGACTTCTCGTACGTCTTTTTTATTTTCAACATTAAATTGAGTGACATTGTTTATAACATGTTTACAAGTTGCTATTGATTAGGATCTTATGCGAGAAAATAATTTCCACAAATAATAAAACTGAATTACTTTTGAAAATGTAAAATATTTTGAAAACTTCTTGTTGCTGAGATTATTTTATTAGGTGAGCAATTTTGAGTTCAAGAGTCAATGCTATTTGGGAAAAAAATGTATTGGATGTGTGATACATTAAATATTAAAGTAAATGACATAACTGTGTTCTATGTAATAGTTATATTTTTGTTTATTTATTGTTTTGTATTGTTTATTTGTGGTATATTTATTTTCAGTCTCTTTGATGGCCCAGTGTGTGGAAATGGTTTTGTGGAAGCTGGTGAGCAGTGTGATTGTGGTTTGAAAGAAAGTTGTGATAACCCTTGTTGCAATGCCACAACATGCATGCTTTATGCTAATGCTTCATGTGCCACAGGAGAATGCTGTGATCTACAGGTATGTAAATCAGTATTAGATGAGAAAATGAAATAAAAACACATAATTGCACTAGATATTAAAATGAAATTTTTTTCTAAACCTGTTTTACAGTTTCCCACTTGTGTAGCTTTTATTTTTAAACATTTTTAATTTTGCAAATTTGAGGAAAGGTCATAGAACATATTTTTTTTAAACATTACACAAGAATAAATTTTACAGACTTGTCGACCAAAAACTGCTGGAACAATTTGTAGAACAGCTGATCATGAATGTGATCTTCCAGAATACTGTTCTGGTCAATCTGAGTACTGTCCAGGAGATGTCTACAAAATGGATGGAGAAACCTGTGACAGAGGAAAGGTAAAAAATTCCATGAATTGTCTTAACTTACTAGTACATAATTGTAAAAAATATGTTTTTATCATTTATTTATTAAAATTTTTAGTAGTATTATTTTTCTTTCTAACTGAGATTCAGTCAGGTCTGTTTATAGAAATAAGTAAATTCAAGTCTTAACCTACAGATGTTTTATTGTTTGGCAGGCATTTTGTTATCAAGGTTCGTGCCGTACCCATTCTGATCAGTGCCGTTTGTTGTGGGGACCATCTGGAAAAAGTTCTGACATGCAGTGCTACCAAATGAATAATAAAGGCACAAGACATGGAAACTGTGGCTATAATAAATTGAATCAATCATTTCTGAAATGCACTGATGAGTTAGTACTTCATAAATTGCATCTCAGTTCTGTTTTGAAACTTCAATTTTACTAGTATTGTGCTGGTATGAATATTTATAATGATTTTGACACCATTTTTAGGGATGTTTATTGTGGAATGCTTCACTGTAAACATTTGAATGAAAGATTGGAGTTTGGGATGGAATCGGTGGCCATTTTATCTCATTCATTTATTAACTCTGGTGGCAGTATCATTCCATGTCGAACTGCAATTGTTGATCTTGGTCTCAATGAGGTAGATCCTGGTCTTGCTCCAGATGGAGCCAAATGTGGCGATGGAAAGGTAAACAAAATTTTCACCTTTTTGCTAAAAGTCCAACCAATCAAACTCTTAAGTTTGTTGTTGTTGTTGGGCTCTCCGTTGGGTATTGTTTTGGGTTGTTTTAGGTAACTAATAACACAAGTGGTTAATGCGACCTAAAGCAAACTTAATATCTCTATCTTTTTGTAATTTTATAATTTTTTTATATATTCACAATATCAACTATCAAGTAACATTCATTCAATATTTTTGAATGTATTTAAAAAAAATTGTTATGTCGTAGATGTGTGTTAATCAAAGATGCAGATCAGTGGGCTCCTTACGTTTGGGTCCCGATGTTTGTCCTCAAGACTGTAATGGAAATGGTGTTTGCAATAGCAAAGGACATTGCCACTGCAAGACTGGGTTTGCCCCTCCTTTTTGTAATTATCCAGGTACTGGTGGCAGTGAAGATAGTGGACCTGCATCAGATCCACATGGTAAGTTGTTCCTTACATCTGTGATACAGATTTGCCCAGGGTAGATACATGGAAAATATTAATAATTGATCGTGATTGATTTTAGTGCACTAAAATATTGATTTTCATTATGTACGTCTGAACTATTTGAGTATTGAAATTACAAATATCATTGTATGATGTCAATTCAAATTCTACAGCTTATATCAATCTCAGAAATTCCCTATCATGTAAATCACAGTGCATTCTACTTATGATACTACAAAATGTCACTTAGCCTGGAAGCATAAGCATAGTCATGCTGAGCTATGTTATGCAAATATTTATAAAGCTAACACTTTACTTTAATTTTATTTATTCATTTATGAAAATCACAATTTGTTACCAAGTGTAGTAAAAACTTATCAATTAAAATTGTATAAAGATGTTAAAATATCATAAGATGCTTTAGTATATCTGTATCAAATTGTGAAGTATTCTGGGTCAATGTTGCCTATGAAATTTTTATTTTTTGTCCAATTTTTACAACAAAAATGAACTATGACCCTAACATAAAAATTAGATTTTTGGTCTTCTTAGCTCTCTGTCTCATCCCCACCGCCACCCCTCTGTAGTCAAATGTGTATGAAAGTATATTTAAAATTTGTAGGTGTTTTAAAGGTGGCAAAAGGTAACATCTGTTTATTATTATTATTATTATTATTATTATTATTATTATTATTATTATTATTATTTATTTTTATTTTAACTACAGCCTAGAAAAAAATTAAAAGGATCGAAGTTTTGAGATTTTTTGTGCTTGTTCCCATGTTCAAAGACACCCTAGAGCTTAATTCTTTTCTAAAAACATTTTTTTTCTTTTGAATTTTGCCAAGAAAATGTCATCATATGGGGCTCTCCATAAATTACATAGCACAAATTTGGAATATTTTGACACCCCCCCCATTGTAATGCTCACATAACGTGCGCTTGGAACCCCTAAATAATTACATAACGCTAGAGATCCCCCGATTTAGAAGAAATAAAAATATATTACGTCACAGAAAAAACAATTTGTATTAATTTTATTTGTGGTCTATTTTTAAATTTTTGATAATGAAAGTCAGAATTAATTGGCGATAGTGACTACATGTTACAATGACATTGGGAACAAGTGCTACGTGAAGGAAGGATGCAAAAAAATTAAAATTTCTTACAAGTATGCGTACGCGTCAGGTACGCATCATGGGTGATGCATGAGTGACAATGTACTGCACCAATTTAATTTGATTCTAGAATATGTTGATTTTGAAGTTTTTTTTTGCTATCTTACATATTCTATAAAAACTCATGAAAAAATAATTTCATTTATTGTAACAAATTACAATATAACTTTAAATTATTTATTTTTTAAAAAAAGTAATTTTTATATTATTTTTTTCTATTAGACAGAAAAAAGTAATTTTTTTATCCTCCCCTCTTTAGTTTTACATAATTTATGGACAGCCCCATGTTAGAGTCATATTTTAACTACTCATATGGCATTTAATTTTAGGAACTTTCTGCCATTTTATTTAGTTTTATAGGGTTCTCTTTAGGCATTATGAAATATTTTTGTTGTAATATGTTTGGGTTGAATCATTTACATTGTTCAAATTGATGTCAGATTCATAATTACAGCAAATAAGTGGAGTGGATATATCATTTGAACATAATAACATTTTTTAATAATGGATTTGTAAGGTGTAAGGTACTATGTTTGCTTGTTTCTGTAGCACACCATTGAGAGATATATGTTAAGTATAACTATTAATAACCCAATTTTTAATGTTAGTGGTTGACTAATTATACTTTTCATACTCTTTTTTAGCTCGAAAAGATGTAATGACAGCCTTGTATGTCATCTTCTTGGGAATTGTGCCATTTGTGGCATTAGTAGCTCTGTTCATGTACTATACTCGTCGCAATGTCAAGCACTGGTGGAAGAAAGGTGGTCGCTCTCCATCTCATGTTGCTGCATCAGATAATCAAGGCCTCCCTCCGTATGTAGTCACCCAGTTCTGTTCAAATTTTGGCCAAAGACTCAGTCAGCTATGTAGATGTAGATCCTGTGCTTGTGTGGATAATATTCGTAATGCCTGGACATGGGTATGCATGAAGTTTAGTAGTTGTTTAGCACTCACCAGGACTCCTTCTGTAGATGCTAATATAGATCACCAAAATGCTCATACTAAAAGCCCTGCAATGAAAAATCCTATGCTCATTAATAAAAACATTGAAATTTCACCTGGTAATTTGGTTTTCACCACTAACACATGTATTTCTACTAAAAATGATTTAGAGAAAAGGGAATACCAACCAAACCCACATCAAATACCAACTGTCACATTTACTTCAGGTAGTTCTCAAAATGCAGACACTGGTTCTCAAAATGACCACATTTATGAAAATATAGGCACAAAACAAAAGAAGAAGAAATCTACAGGATTCAGTACGCAAACCATTCAAGGGGAAATACATTCTGTAGAAAATGAAAAGATTAGAAAAAAAATTGGAACAAAACCACCTGGTACTTCAAAACCTGGTATGGCTCGTAAAAATTCCAAAGGATTACAATTGATGACTGATATTGATCCAATGAGAGACAAGCTTTTGAAAACACCGGACTCTGTTACACCAGACACTCCACCAATAGTAAAATTTTCTGACAATTCACAAGGAAAGGTTTGCCAACAGATACTAAATATCCAATCTAGGTTAGACAGAGATGCTTCTAAACATACATTGAGGACACAGAGACCCACTCAACCTCCTCCTCCAGTCCACTCTAATGTAGGTTTCAAAGCAATTTCAAAAAAACCAAAAAAATAATCATGCTTAATTTCTTAGTCATGTAATGCTTGATTTTATGTAATAAATAGTGTGATGTGATTGTCTCCCATGCCTTTTTTTATGTGTTGAGAAAAAGTCATAGAATTGCATGTATTCTAGTCACATGGGGAAATGTAGATACTTTTTTGATCACTGATTTATTATTTGAAAATATTTTTGTGTTTGTATTTGTAGATATAAAATGTGAGTGAGAGAAAATAAATAAATTGCAAATCTGATGTCATGAAATTTCAATAAGTGCAATTTTATTTATCCTACCAAATTGAAATCCAGTTGACCCATTTTATAAGTGATAATTATTATTATCACTGATAAAATATAATTCTTATCCAATTTCTGAAAGCAAAAATAAATATAGAAGTTAAAAATTTTCTCACTGTTGATGATTTGTGTTAATTATTATTTTTCAGTCAATGGTAATAGAGTAAACACTTGTTACCATGAACTCACTTAACACACATTTTGTTTTGCCACAAAGAAAACTTGAACTGAATTGAATTGAATTATGCCTTATTTTACGTGGCGAGACTCAGGCCATTAGGCTTGCTCTTCCGTCTGACCACGCAAATTTCGCTACGCTCCTTTCACCAACTACCGGAGAAAGGAGGTATCTTGGGCGAGAAACTTGGGACCCATCAAGGGATTACAGTAATACAAACATTTACAATAATTGGATAACATAAATTTTTAATGAATATTGAATATTATAATTATGAAATATAAAATATAGTATTAAAACTTTAAAATATAGTATTTACTGAAGTAGTTAGAACACTATTTATATGAAAATATCAGTTTTACATTTCTGTATCAGCATGACATGAAAATAATTCATTCTTTCAAACTTGTTCAAACTCAAAATTCAAGTAAAGAGTACTAAAGTGAAACATTTGTTAGAAACCATTAGGTTTCATAACAATCATAATTTTATTTTATTCAGTAAATAATTTTACTAATGAAATTGAGGAAAGCAAATTCGGAGATCAGAAGAATCTTAATAACACATTAAATGCATATATATGTTTCAAATATTTGTATAATAATGTAATGTTGTAAATAATATCTCTAATTATTACGAAATGACTACTTTGTACAAGGGGTCTATCATTTGCTCATGTAACAGGCATGATTTTGTGGATGTTGCATGCTTAACATCAAAGGCTTGATACGCTTTTCTCCCTCTTTTTGATTTGTGCTTTCACACTCCCTCAAGTTTGTAATATGTGTTGATTGTGTATGTCTGTTTTTATAATGAATGCACCATTTGTTGTTTTTTTAAAATATTTTCTCGTATTATTTACATTACTGATAAATTCTATTCAAGAATTTAAATATAAATTCATTGACCTTTTCTGCTTTTTCCCTTGCCTGTCAGCGCTAATGATTTGCTTTTTGCTTATGTATATTTGTACAGGTCAAAAACTGGAGAGAAGAAAACCCAGCATCGTATCAGCAGAGGCAATTCTATGGCGTTTCTTCCAGAACGAAACTTTTCTGGTTCTCATGGGCTTGAGATTTCCAGCCCAATTCCTGCAGATGCCTTCAGTTCTGACAATGCTCTTGCTTCATTGCTTCCAAAAGCGGATGCTGCTAGTGGCTTAAATAACTCTTCATCTGGAAGCCCAGCCAGTCTTCAGAGCAATCTCTTTGGCCAATTCAAAGGATTCAGCATTACTCCTCTTCCTTCTGTTCCAACTGCTTCATCTCAGGCAAAACCACCATCTCCTCCATCAAGAAATATTACTAGCAACCATGTAGCACCACCTGTAGTTCCTTCTTTACCTGCAATGGCAAAACCAACTCCATTACCGCCCAAAAACACCATAGCTAAAAACACTATTGCTGCTTCTACCAATGTCACTACAGCTTCATCTGTCACCACCAGTTCCAAACCATCTAGTGCATCTCGACCTCTCATCAGTAGCCCTGTCCTTGATGCTACAACATGTACTGCCAAGGAACTGATAGATGCTGGAGCAGTACCAGCAGTCCCTACTCGACCTGCTCCCCAAGTCCCTGGATCTTCTACACCAGCCCCAGTGGATAAACCTGCAAGACCTGTATCATCTCCCAATGCTTTAAGTGCTCTTGCTCCTACATCTCTTCCGGAAACTTCAACAGACGACAAGAAACGTAAAGATTCAGGAGGTAACAGCTACCCAACCTTAACTCGCCTTGCATCATTCATGATGAGGTCACAAAATGCTGCTCCAGTCTCAAGAACTCAGTCTCAAAGCCAAAATGTAACTGAGAAAACTACAAAGAAAAGCAAACCAGTTGAGGGAACAAATTCCTTGCCAAGAAAAGTGAACAAGTTGCAGATCGATAGAGAAGTGCTTCGAAATTTAGAAATTTCTAATCCTATTCCCCAGCAAGAGATAGAGATCCCTCAGAAAGCAGTCCCTGTTCGTGCAGCTCCTCCTGTTCCTGATGAAGAGGATAGTTCCAAAAATGTTGTTATGCGTGCCCAAAGTTTACGAGGTAGTGGTCCCATTACCCAGCGACCAGCAATTCCAACCTTTGGTTCCATGAGACAACCACCTGGCACCAAACGTCCTACTAGCATACCTTCATGCACACGTCCTACTTCTCCTCCACCACGCCCACCTCCTCCACCAACTGAAAAGCCTGGCCAAGTGGACCCTGGAATCATTGGACTGCCAGGGTATCAAAATCCACCAGGTAATTCTCAAGATTATTCATATGATGACTGCTTGAATTTAATGCCTGCAAATACGGCTACTCTAGCCAAAATTGATGAAGATATTAGCCCATCACCAAGAGAGAATATTTACGCTGTCATAGAAGAGTCCCCACCAGAACGAGAGAGAAGAAAATTGGGAAATGGAGCCGATATTCCAATTCCTTTGTCTCCGAAATCAGCTCCTGAAACTCCACCAGGAAAGAAAGACAAATTTGAATACACTTCTCCATCATTCAATGAATATAAAACCCCAAAACCCATTGACAATACAGTTTCTGCCGGAAGTGTAGAATCTGTTGGGCTTCTTTCTGAGATAGTAAATGAAATCCAAGCTCGTAACATGGAATCCATTTACAGTACTTCATCGCTGGGAAGAAAGAAAAAGAAAGATGGAAGTTCAACTTCTGATGATGAATCTGTTAGTACATCTACTTCAGGTCCTCCTACTCTCCCTGATAAAACTAGCACAGTTGCTGCATCAAATAGTTCTCTGGGTACATATGTGAATGCTCCATATACAACTTCTAGCATTTACAAACCCATGGGCAGTGTCTATAGCAATGTTTCTTCCCAAAACAGTTCTGGACCTGGCAGCAAACCAAGCTCCAGTTCTGCTAGTTCTAGTAGTGGTTATCTAAGTCCCATGAATATGGTTAACAACGGTTCCTCTAACACTAAATCTGCTGAGACTAACCAAGAGAAGAAGAATTTTAGAACAGGGACATCATTTAGTCCTCCTGTGTCTTCAAGTTCATCATTTGTGCCATTAAAGCCATCGAATAAGCCAACAGAGCCTACTACAAATGTTAGTTCATATAAGCCATATAGCTCTTCTCTAAATCGCTCTCTTGGTCCATTGGCATCAAGTTTCCGTTCATCTGGTAGTTCGCAAACTGACAAAGATAACAAGTCAAATATTTCTGCAGAGTCAACTAAACAGGAAGGAACTGCTCAGAAACCAACAAAGAATATCAATACCACTTTGATGCCATCTGTTGCTTCGGATTTAAAACCCAATCCTTCACTTTCTAGTATTACAGAGAATAAAGTGCAAACCAAGTCAATATTACCAAATAAATCTTCATTGCACAGCACTGCAGCACCACCTACTTCATCCAAACCTGTTATGTCACTTCAACCGAAATCCAGTGGCTCAGATGTAACAAAAACCTCACAAATTGCATCCACAAATAATACAAATTTACCAAGACCAGGCGTTAATGTAGGGAAAACACCTGATGTTGTTTCAAGCTGTGCAGTAGGTGGGAGTGCTGGTAAATCACCTGATGTAGTTGGTGGAGCAAAAATAGATTCTAAAGTAGTTAATAAACAAACCGTTGAACCAAATGTACATAGTGCACCAAAACCAAGTATACAATCAAGAATTAGTGCTAGTGGCAGCAGTGGTATTAATCGAACTCAATCTGCTGGGAATAGTGCAAACAAAGTAGGAAGCACCACAGTTGGAAAGCCAACTCCTATTCATTCTTCATTCCGTGGCGGTGTTGGCAAGTCTCCTCAACCTGCTCCAAAAACATTTAGTTCAAAGGTTAGTGGGGACACTAGTGGGGTAGGAGGTGCATCGGGAACACCAACTGTGCCTGAGAAGAAAACTGTTTTGGGCACTGCAGCAAGAGACATGAAAAGTGGTGTAGGTCGAGGCAGCTCTTTAAATAAATCAGCGTCTGATGTTGGTACTGCCAGAGCTATGCCTATTGGTGCTCGTGCTGCTGCCAGCAAGTTGTCACATGTTGCTTCATTGCAACAGAAGTTTGAAACTGCTGCTACAGGTAACGAAAAGAACAGTCCAGCAACAACTAGACCTGCACCCAGTGCACCAAGCAAACTTAAACCCAATGTAGGAAGTAAACTCAGTGGAAATGCAGGGATTAAAAAATGAAATGACTCAAATATCAAATTCAGTGAAGTTCTAGAATAAAGAACTTGTGTTCATAACATCACTATTTTTGTTTTCTCGGTGTACATTTCAGAGTGTTCTCAGTGTAAATTGTCTCTCAATAGTTGTATTACTGTTTCAAAGTATCTATGCAATAATTCAATGTCAACATATGATTGAGAATTGTTGATGCTTGCAATTGTTTTTAGAATATTTATATTTTTTTCTCTTGTCTGGAACAAGCAGATGCCATTATGTTATATTATGTATCACAGAATTACAGTGTATATCAAGAACTCTGTTCATATTGAAACAGCAAATGATACAGGTTTAAATGAAAATAAAGAGAACAAAACTTGAGCGACATCGCTGTAATTACGCCTAAGGAATGCCGGCATTTCAAACATATTGGCTTTCTTTAATTTAGTTTGAGAAAAAATGTCTTAGGACTATATCACTACTTTTATGGGTCCAAACCTGAAGTTGGTACTAAAGTTGATAGTAATTTTTCAAGTCTTCTAATTCTTCACTGAAAGTTAATATTTCCTGAGTGTTTCCAATGAAACCTAAGTTTTGCACCAGAATCAGATGCTTATAGCATCGTTTTCAATTGAGTGTATTAACATCTGTGCCTTGTTCTGTGTGTTATCGATGAATCAGTGGTCATCAAACCACTAATTTGTGACTGCTGGCAGTCCCGGTTTCACCTCTGAAGGTCGCTTATTAATTTCCCAAAGAAGTCTACACATTTGCATTTTTTGTACATCATTGTTTTATAATAAGTGAAGCTGTGAATTAATTAAGATGCAGTATAAATGTGTACCTCCTTACTGTAAAATTATGAATGTATAGTATTTATGTAAATATAGTGACAAAGTATAAATTCACATGTATAATGCTTTTACATAAGAATTTTCACTTTTTTTGTAATCGGTAATCACCCAATTTTTTATTGAATGTATTTGACAAATGTGAAAATCATTATTACTAGAATATTAGGGAGGACAAAATAAATATTAATCAAATTTTTACCAAACATTTGAAAATGCACATTGAATTTTTAGTCTTGTTAATTAAATGTGTCATTTAGTGAGCAACTGAAGCAGATATGCTATGAATATGACTTAAGATAGATGATAAATGTTGAAATAATCTATAAGAATATTTCATGACCTTTAATTTTGTTGGATACAGCTGTAGCTCAAATGGGAGAAGGCAGAGGGATCAAAATTTCCGACTAAATACTCTCAACATGTATGGCATACATTCTTTGTTATACATTTATTTAATGTACTTCAAAATGAATGAATTGGCTACTATTAGAAATACAGATCATGTTGTCACAAAATTCTTATTGAATTATATTGTGTAAATAATTTCTCTTTAATGAATATCCTGATTTTGTATGTCTTGAAACTTTCAAGATGCTATTTAAAGATCAAACTGATGTAATAGATAAGATTAGGAAGCCTTATGTTACATTACATTATGTTATGTCTTATTGGACATTTTACTTGCACTATAAATATGTACAGTAAATTATCGAGAAACAAGAGTAAAGCAGTGCTATATGGTCTGCAGTGATTGTGAAGAATTTTTACCAGAATATATAATTTGATTCTCTCAACAATTCATAGTGGTCACTTACAACATATCTTATTCAGATTAAAAAATAATTCAACGTTAAAATTTAGTAAATACAAATTTTATATTTTTCATTACGTTAATTTAGTCTTGAAATGCATGGAACCTTCTAATTTTCCATGTGCAAATTTTGAAGATCTTAATAAATAAATGTGATATGACAAATTAATATGTGGTAACAATCCGAGAATGTTGGTATCGTTAGTTCTTGCAGTATCAATAGAAATGTGACATACCTTACTAGTTCAGGAATGTTGACTTGTCACTTTTAGCCTTGAAAGTGTTAACATTTTTCTCTAAGAGGCTATTGAAATAGAGCAACTGTTCAATAACTTGTGTCGTAGAAAACAAATTCTTACCTATTCCCACCTTTAATTGCTACATTCTCCTAAAGAATGAGAACAAGGAAGGAGATGCTTTGATTTCCTTGTTCCAAGGCTCAAAAAATAAAGCCCTTCTCTTATTGGCAAAATGAAAACGAAACTTTTTGATTTTATTTCTGTTTTTATAAATCACTCTACATAGCAACTTCATAATAAAAATATTTATTATTTATGTATTGTAAATAAGCACATATGAAATAAACAAATGTTTAATAGAAAACTATGATTATCAAATGCAAATATTCTAGAAAGTGAATATGAAATACACTCATTCTTCCCAATTTATAATCTGTTAAAAAAAGTGAGCTTAAACATTATTTTTAAAAACAGTGAATAAACTCTCTTACCGTTCACCTTGAAAAATGTTTACAAATATGTTGTTCATTCCCAAGTTAATGCTCAATATTTAAGAGTATGTTTAATTTGTTTTAAATAAAAAATTTTATATATGTATTTTAAGAAAAATGATATTTTTAACATTAATTTTACTTTTCTCAAATTGAACATCTGAATTGGAGGTGGACCTTGTAGATGTGAGAGTAGACAAGTACTGGAATTGTCAAGATGAAGTCAATGAACTGTACTTGCATTCTCATTCATCTTTGCAAATTTTGCTTCAATCAGTGGTATTAGTAACCTTTCCATTGTAAAATTTTTCTTCCCAAACACACAACACAGTTAATATGAGTAACGCAGAACATATACAATGTAGAGGAATGTAATGATAGAAGAAATATACTCAAAATATGACTTGAACTGATATGTACCCTTATTATGTAACATTTAATATCCATATTATGTTTCAATACCCAAGCTAATTAAAAATGGATATCTTAAGCAGTTGCTAGACGTTATCTTGGTCATCATTAGCAGACTATCTATATTCTATTCATGGTACAATAATAAACATGGCAATGAGCAAATCATAATTCTGAAAAGGTAGGCAACTAACAACACATTAGTTTTCCCAAAATTAAAATATTTTCAAATTTAGAAGCAATAACACTTTTTGGACTATATGGAGTAATTCTGACAGCCAAAGATAAATGTTCTAGTACTTCCAGTACTAGATGGAAATAAACTAACATAAGATACACAGTCTAATGCATTACCCTTCTTTGAGTTCACGCTGTGAGGCATAATTCTTCATATTTCAAAAGAACAACTGAAAATTGTTTGTAATATTTAATAAAATCTATGTAATCTGCACTATTAGATTTAGTGATTAAATGCATTTGGAGCAATTCATGGTTTTGTTAACAATGTACTTTATATTTATATATATACACACACACACACACACACACACACCTTCATATTGTCTCTTTAAACCTATTCTTACATTGAGAGTGTAGGCTTCCGCAGCCGGAGTCAGTATTTACTAGCCTGTCCGAGTGACGCCGCGTCCATGGCGAAGGTGCCGACGTTTCGGTCGCCATTCTGCAACCTTCCTCAGGGCGTAATGAGGAAGGTCGCAGAATGGTGACTGAAACGTCGGAACCTTCGCTACGGACGCTGCGTCACCCGGACAGCCTAGTAAATACAATTCTTACATTGTTTTATTGTTGCTAATGGATGTCAGAATATGATATAATTATGGATACTTCTTATCAACCACAAGCTACTTTTATTAGCATTTTAAGAGTACATACATGAAGTTAAATGTCATTTTTAGAAATGAACTATCTTGATGATTTTTATTTAATGTTAGACAATATAGGGGATATCCCCAAATTCTTTTTCTAAATTCCCCTGCCCCCAATGGGATCATGAAGCACCTTGTTGGTCTCTGATTAGTAAACCAAACCTTTCATCTTATCTCCTGAAATATAATTCCAAAGTGTAATTAAGAAACACTTCCATCTATTTATATGCATGATGTTCTTGAATATTCTTTGTCTTGAAAACTATATTTTCTTTGAAAGAGGGTAAAATATTATTAAAATAAATATATTAAGAACACAGTGCCACCACTGTGAAACAATCTCCTTACATCTTATTTCCAGAAAGTTCTTCTGGAAAGTAATGAATGACATTAAAATATTCCAGAAATTTGTGTGCAGGTCTTGGAATGTCAATAGAATTGATGTTTCAACATTTTTGTCTCAAAATAAAAAGTCAATACTGAAAATTTCAAAGAACCTCTTAATCTACAATAGAACTTTGAGGGGGTGCTATTTTCTACTATTGTATTAAATTATAGTATCTTAAATTTAAATCATGCAACAATAAGTTTAAAAACTAAATGCCTTAATTGAGAAGCAAATCATCATAACACTCCTTGCTTTCATTCATCAGTGATTATAACATGGAAACTAAATACACCTGTACCTCTTCTCTTATCTAGACTGAATTGAATCTTATGTAGTACAATTATTTAGAGCTGAGCTAAGAGCTGAGAAATCTTCACTATTATTATGAAGAAGTGTGAAATACTTCTGGCTGTATATAAAAATTAGTGAACCCTTATTTTTTCAAATAAATTCCTTGAGCCATTTCTAATTGAAAATTTTCTTTTTGAAACAAAATTAATAAGTTACTTGAATGTACTATTAAATATTCTTTAATTCTAGAAGGAAGTTGTATTGTGAATAAGGAAATCAATTGCTAACTTCTTGTTAAAAGTAACCCAAAGCTGGTTCTGACAAATATCCTTTGAGGAATGTAGTACACTGCATCCATTGTGAGATCAAGGATCCCTTTTCTTTAAGGGAAATTTAGTTGTTCCTTCCCTATTCAAAGCTGTAATGATACCACCATCGTGAGGATTACTTCAGTTCCTGTTATATAGCTATTTCAGAGATCTTAGCAGCTATTCCGATTGAATGTAAATAAAGGAAAAAATGTGTGTTGCTTACTTAACTCCAGTTATTGTTTAAGTTGGGAGAAGCCATGTCAACCAAGTTATAGACAGCTCCTTGTTTAAGGAGTTGACCATCTATTTCATATTTTCCTTGTATTTAATGATATTAATATTAAATGTCTACAATTGATCATTAAAATTCTAAACATCTTTTCAACAAACAGGTGTTCATTTGAACTGCTTCACTTAATGTTAGCTGAAATATTTTCAGCAAAAGGGTTATCTCAAATTATTCAAAGCAAAAACTGATGTACAATGTTATATAACATACTCTTTTCCTATACATTTAATAAGTTGCAGAGCAGATACACAAGTGATGTCAGTTTATTGCATGTTGAAGTAACTATATCTGAAGTATTGTTTAGGTACTTGACATTACGTAATGATATGCAAGTTATTGTATGTGTGTATATGTAAAAACTGTAAATATTCTAAATGTAAATTCAGAATCTGTAACAAATTTCATTTCACTGATATATATCTTGTTTGTGGTAATTTTTATGGTGAATTTATGATTGAGATGTAAAACTCCAGCTGAATCAATGAATGGATCAGGTGTGGTCAGCGAAAGAATGAAGGAGATATTTATTAAAATATTCCAACAATCACAAAGTTGATATTGTTTATGTACTTGTGATAAACAGAACATATAGAGAATTGTTGCTGTCTTGAAGCATATTAATACATCATTGATATTCTGTGAGCATTAGAAATATCAGCTGATACCTGCCATATGCTGTCACTGACAATCTTCAATCTCCTTTTTTATATTTATATTCTAACAAAGTGATTTACACAGTAAAATGTGATATGTTTACTGTTAGATATTCGTGATCTTACTTTATTTATAAGTATGAATTGGAATAGTATAAAGTTATCAAATTACATATCTGATATTTGAATTTTTTGTGCTTTTGTCATATATTTTATAGCAGTTTCGATGTAATGATAAAGAGTTCTAACTATGCTGTGCTAGAGAAATTTACAGATATGCAAAAGTGAATTAGTGGGAAGATAAAAACTCACAAGTGATGAGACTTTGTTTCAGCAACTCTACAATTCCATCCACAATTTCTAATTTAATTTGTTTGGGAATAGGTTGATGTACATTGCATCAACAAGAAAGGATCAATTCCATAAAATGTATGGTTCTGTGTTATAGCAGGATAGTTAATTAATCTGATATGTATGTGAAGCATGCAGGCTAAGCTTATTTGAATATGTGTAATCCATGAAAAAGGAATTATATAAATCTAACAATGCCATGTAAAAGCCTTTTAGCTAGTGTTAGTTTTATTTGTACAGATGATATGAATGCCATTCTTAATGTTCCACTTTTGCATTTTTGATAAATTACTGTCTGCATCTTGCACATCATTGTTCAATAGCTATTTTATTGTACACATACCAAAGATTTTTTGTATGATAAAAACAAGCTTTTTGTGCAATTAAACGAGATGTACTTTTAATTTATTTATTTTAAAGAAGGTGTGGCATTATTGATTATAACAAATAAACAGCTTTCAAATGCATTAACAATTATTACTCATGGATAGTACTACAATTTATAAAAGGTGACAAACTAAACATTTTTTCAAAAATTTCAAAATTGGTTTTTGTCTTTCCTTTCTCAAGGAAACACTCCATTTACTAATAAAACTCACTTTAATGGCAACTAGTATAAGCAGAAAAGTGACAAATATATGATTTTTTTTTAAAGGAAAGTTTCACGCAAAATAATCAACAGGTACACACTAGTCAAAAAATATTTCACTTTTTCCAAAATATGGGCAAATGTTTTTGTGTATTTAATAATACATTTGCTTGTCTTAACTTCCATTGCATACATTAACTGTCACAAATGTCAAAATTATTGACTATATTTCTACAACAGCAGTTTTGTTTTATTTTGCAAGAGAGAAGGTCAGTAGTTAAACAACATATACAATGCATACATTAATGCAGATGCAATAGCTGAAAAGAGTATCAGCAAGAAACTTCATGAAAGTTGATTCTTTTTTCCATTTTTAATTTATCATCTAAATCAGTCATCCTCAAAGTGGTTGATAACTACCCTCTGGAGTCAATGTTTACTTTCTTAAGAGTCAATAGTTTCAATTTATAACTAGTCTTGCTAGAGAATGGCACAGACTTTCCCGCATTAGGTTTCTATTTTCTTTAATCCTCGGCTAGCTACTCGGACTTGTCACATACTCTTGCCAGCTGCCATCTAGCGCCGCCCAAAGAACCTTTTCTTTTTCCTTCTAAATTCTTCGCTTTCATAATAGTACAACAGTAATATTATTTTAAGCAAAAGAACCGTAAAACCTCGCCATAAATGGCAATTTTCTTTGAAAAAATTGGAGCCGTTTTAAAGCAAATCGCGTTTAAGCGCTTCTGTATATGCCAGATTTGAACATCTTTTCACAGAAAACTAATGAGTTTCCGAAAAACTTAATATGTAGTAATTTCAAACACTTCCAGTCACAAATGCAATAGTGTTTGCAAATTGCCGGAAATGTGCAAATTAAAGGCGTGAGAGGTCTTTCAAAAAAAAAGTATTAGAGTAATTTTGGGAAAACAAAACAAAATGATCTTTACAGCATATTAAAAAGCCCAATTAGCAGTATTCCTTCGAAAAGGTTGAAGAAAAAAACTTTTTTTTGAGAAAATGGCATTTGAGCATTTTTGAAAATGTAGTTTTAGTTAGTTTTCACAGAAAATGATTTTTGAGAAAATTTATCTGACATTATTTAAAGTACATATAGTCATAAATATAATAATGTGATCAAATTGCCGCAAATGTAAGTTTTGAGAGAGAAGTGAGAGACGTGACGTGAGAGAGAAGTAAAAATTACATTTGTGTATTTAGAAAAAACTACATAAGAATAAAGCAATAAGACATTTATGACGCCTGATAGAGTGCATTTAGAACTATCCCTACCAAAAGTTTAAAGAAAAAAAATTGGAGCCGTTCTTGAGAAAATCTGGTTATTGTGATTTTTTAAAAATATTGTGTGAAAACTACTCAAATTTCCAAAAAATCGAACTCATTATGGAGAACAAATTTTAGTTGAAGGAAAAGTCTCTATCTTCAATTTTTTAGTTGCAGAAAGACTCCGAAAAAAATCATACTTTTAAAATTTTCGAAACTTTAGAGTTAACGTGAAAATGGAACCTATGCTATTGTTATAAGCGTATGTTACTCTATTCTTTTAAAAAAAATTAGAGCCGTTTTTGAGAAAATTTTGCAAATTCCCCAAGGGTTTCATGTTCTAACCCCCTAATTTTGAAGAATGTTTTCATAATCTCAAAGCGATGACTCGAGCTAGATAGAAAGGATTTCTTCAACTTGGAAAAAAATCCTACGCTTGGTTTAGGCGCTAGTAGTCTTCACGGACGGACGTTTTGCCGTCAATTGGTTTGTCGGTATTAAGGACCCACGAAATAGGGATTCTGTTAGAGGATTGTTTTCCTTAATTTAGCAACTGG